CGTGAATAGTGCAAGAGGACGCGGCAGGTTGTTAACTGCATTCCTTTCCTAGAATCTCGTCTAACAGGACCTCACATTGTCTACTTACCCTATAGCGTTCCTGCCTAAACCCAGAGAAGTGCAGTAGCGAAAAAAACATGGCAATGAAACGGAAAGTTTTAAGCATTGAAGAGAAAGTTAAAGTGATTCATGAAATATTGTGTGTATTGTCAGTGAAAAGCTCTGTTATATGTCTTTGATATTACACATTTGGGCAATTCCATGTTAATGTTACGTTAGTCTGTACTTAACTATGTATTTCACTAAAAAAATGCAACATTTTAACTCGGTTTTTGGTAGATTTTTACGTGACTAACATAAGGCTACTGTGGAAGTGCCCACTTCGGTTACAACATTCGTTTATAACGACACTATTTTTAGGTCCCTCTGATGACGTTATAACCAAGTTCTACTGTATTTCAAATTAAATTCTGCAAAACACCTCAACAAAACACAAGGTATTTGATCTACAGCCTGTACTAATCATTTACTCAATATCAGCCACCTTGACTTTGAATTGTTACATGTTGAGGATCCTTATTATTCTCCTGTGACTACAAGGCAATGAAGACACTGCCAAGTGTTCACATATGGCTGTCTCTTCAACTTCATATCTGTGAAACAGTCTGTACCTCAAAGGAGCAGAGTTTCAAAAACATAAAAATATGTTGTCACTCTTATACATGTTATGCATTCATGTAACATTATAAACACTAAATGAATTCAAAATTCCATTATTAAAATTCAATTCCGTGCTCAGCCAGTTCAATATCAGGGATATTAAAATGCCTACGAAGTCAATATTTGTCTCGTTATCAGCCTACACATACCGGTAAATCCTGGCGTAAGTGCTGCCATCTTCCTTGCCAAGTCTATTTTATCCAAATTAGTTTTCAATGGCTGTAGATGAACTTTGAAAATAGATGCTCTACCCTTGATGTCTGGTGCTGGCACAAAGATCTGCCGATCAAACCTTCCTGGACGTAGCAAAGCTTTATCTAAAATGTCAACCCTGTTTGTAGCTGCCAGAACTACAACATTGGTGGTGGTATTAAAACCTGCAACATTATGAACATATGAGCAACTTGTCATCTGTGTAACCTCTGACCATGAAACTGTACAAACATCCAATAACTAACTATAAAATCTTAAACAAATATATACCTGTTTAACTATATCAGACTGAAAGAACATTTTATGCAGATACGGTCTTCTGGGATGTGATGCTATTTAGTCTTACCAAAGGTTCAGAGGAACTGCAGTAAACATTTCCCAGACTATAAGGCATCACATTCCAAATAGTAATCTTCACAGTGGCCAAAATGGACACACCAAATCTCACAAGTATTTACCAAGAGTTTTATTATTATTATTATTATTATTTGGAGGGGGTGGGTTTCCCCATGCACTGTGACCATTTGTTGATCTATTGTGCGCCCCCTTTAATTATTCTAACTAGTCGCCATGCCCTTCCAGTACTTGTGCTCACTATCAGCCCCATTCTGCCAGCGAGGTCAGCCCTGTTTGGTAGTGGTCCCCGATACTTCCTCATCTACCGTAGGAATTGGTCAGAGGTCTCCTACAGACATGAGGATCTTTTACGTGCAGTAAATCTATGACACGGGACACATGGCTTAAAGTCCCTCCAGGAGGACTTGTTCCCTGAATTTTTCCACCCTTAAAAATTCCACGACCTCCACTGGGTTTGAACCAGCGTACCTTGAGCCATGAGGTGGGAACATTACCCCTAGACTACGGAGGCCACTTTACCAAGAGTTTTGGTGACAATAAAAAATGATTTTGTGCTTCTGTAGGCAAAACACGCACATACATGTGTACATGCATGAGATAAATAAATGTAGAGAAAGGAAACAAGGAGTCTGCAGACACATCATATCTACTTTCCTTTAAACAGGGAAATCCAAAAATTATAAATTATTAATAATATAACCTGGTGGTCAAGCCAGTTGCATCATTTGCACTAATATAAAAGCTGTGAGATATAATCTAAGAGATTTCCACAATTCTGGTATGCAAAATTTGCCATCTTTACCATAAAACAGTTACAGACCTAATTTTTGGTGTTCCTATCTACCAAACAAAACAAAAAACAAACTCCGTGATTTTAGTCCGCAAGCAAACTATACTGACCAGGCGACTCCATAAGCTGGGTGGGGGAGACGAGAGAGTGGATTCAGACACAGACGGGGAAGGCGGAACAGACACATTCAGACATGATGGATATCATTCAGATATAAAATGACTTTAGTCACAGCTTTACACCTTAAGGGAGAATTTAAAAGTTTACAAGCTTACCATCCATTTCAACGAGTAATTGATTCAAAGTGTTTTCTTGTTCTGAGTGGCCACCAAAGCTGCGACCACCACGCTTCCTACCCACTGCATCTATTTCATCAATAAACAGGATGCAAGGGGCATGTTTACGAGCCATGGAGAACATGTCTCGAACCTAGAAATATACCAACACATTGAGAACCTAAGATATTCAAAGAATTTATACACAGCCTGAAAATCATGCCTCATGCCTTGCAGTTCATTTCAATCTTCATATATTACTGATCTTCTTAAACAACATAGTTTATTTTTAGTTTTTTTAGGGTGGGGTTAGACTGAGTCCATCTGGTATGTCAGTCACCAACTGGCATATTATACCAGCCCTGGATGACAGATGATGAATGTGGAACAGCCAGTGGAATGAAGATTGGCAGGGGAAACCGAAGTACTCAGAGAAAATCTGCCCCAGTGCCACTTTGTCCACCACATATCGTACATGATCTGACCTGCGCTCAAATACGGGCTGCCGTGTTGGCACTAATCACCTGAACTAAGGCACAGCCAAAGCAACATAACTGTGGTACTTCATGATTAATTCTTTATTATATTTAGATGTACCATGGAAAGGAACAAATACTGTGACAAATCAAGATTACATTCAAATAAAAATTAAAAACAGATTAAATTCAGGAATCCTTGTTACGGTTCAGTTCACAAAACTTTTCTTTCCCAGTAAAAAAAAAGTAAAAAGTAAAGCCATCCCTGTACCAAGCCGTGAAGGGCCATAGGGTTGTGAGACGTTGAGGGTCCTACACTATCTAGACAATCGGCTCAAAGATGGCGGTAAGGTTGTCAGCCTTATGCGCTGGCCGCACTTTACTCTCCAGGAAAATTATTTTTAATTAATTCCTGGTACTCATTTCCCAGGGCCTAGTGCGGCTGGAAGGATTATGTCAACTGAAAAAAATCCAATGACCTCATCAGGATGTGAACCCGCGACCTTCCAGCTTGTAGCAAAGCCTCTCAACCACTATGCTACCACGTTTCCAGTTCCTATATAAAATAATTAAGATAAAATATGCCAAACTATAACTTTACCTACTGTTTTACAATGAAATTCTCATATAACGTTCCTAAATTTAGTGTTCTCCCTCATTTAATGCTCAAGTTCAATGATCCCAAGCAAAGAAATTCAGTGCTAAATTTCCTCCACTTAAAATGTTCTTCAGTTTAGTCTTCAAATCCACTGCTCCCCAAAGAAACCTTAAATGGAAGTTTTACTGTATATGGGTATAAAACTTGGCTTCTAACCATGAGGTAGAAACACGACCTAGATGGCTTTTGATAACATGGTGCTGAGAACTCTGAGACCAAGGAGCGAGGAAATAAGAGTAGAATACTGAATGATGAGATCTGAGGTTTTCACAGTAGTAAAAACTCAGATTTTGGTCATCTGAACTAATGACACCATGAGTGGTTACTGATGTTTTGCAGTAACATGCTTCAGACCCTGAAGCTCGAAGCAAAAGGTACCTGTGAATCAATGATAACACATACAGGACTGTACAGTCATTATACAGGAAACCAGAATCTAAAAAAAAGAATGCTAGTGAAGAATTTATAATTTGTGTTCTTCAGCTAACATTGCTAGCGTGATCAAATCACTCTAGATGAGACAATTAGGGCATCTATCACACATCACACATCCTAAATGGATTAGACCACTTGAAAGGCAGAGATAAGATGATAATATTAAAACAGATCTTAGAAGTAATCAGTTAACAGTACAGTAACTGTGAACTTCAGACACAGTTAAAAGTAAACAACTATAATTTACAGCTATTAAGTTCTGGTTGTTGTAAACTTGACAATCAGAAAGAGTTTTCATACAGGAATAAACAAAGCACAATCTCTGAAACAATTTACCCTTGATGGTCCAACTCCCACAAACATCTCAAGGAATTCCGAACCCGAAACGGTAATAAACGGAACATTGGCTTCTCCAGCTGTTGCCTTTGCTAGCAATGTTTTCCCTGTACCAGGTGGTCCTGCAAATCGATTTAACATGGCATGCCCTTTACAATGGTCTGAAAGTATTTCAGTCACATATTACAAAATCTACAATTATCAGGTTATATGAATCCATAAATGTACTAAAAATGGATAGTCCCAATGTGTCATCATTTGAAAGAGAAAACTAATGTCAATTGTTCATACTAAGACCTACACATAAATCATAATTATTCAGATTGCATCAACTATTGATGGTATGAACACACATTCTGTATTTTAGGCACATAAATTTGAAAAACACACATAAAGATGGGATCATGCTTTACAGAAAAATCCACATATACCAGTAAAAGTAAAAGCAAAGTTTTCCCTGTGCTCACCAGTACCTTCCCCAAAGCTCTAGTGTTCATAGTGACGAGTTATGAGAATTTATTTCAAGTACCATATATATCAAATCAAGATTTCATTCATACTGAATGGTTCAGATATAAGTGTTCAATGCAGAGAAGACATTAAATAATCTTCATAGTCAAGTTTCGCCCATGGGCCAAAGGCTGGAAATCTATAATGCACAAATTTAAAGCTTATGACATTTAACTATTCCAAAATAATGGATTACGTTTCAAAAAAGTACTAAAGTTTAAAATAATCAGTGAATTCACCAAATGACTAACATTTACTTTTAAGCATTAATGGAAGGCAAACAGGACAAATGACTGAATAAACATTAATTAAGAAGTAACATGTACCTGTTAACATGGCTCCCTTTGGAATCTTAGCACCTAGATCTATGTACTGCTGAGGATTTTTCAAGAAATTGACAAATTCCATAATTTCCAGTTTTGCTTCCTCACAGCCTGCAACATCCCTAGAAAAGGATAAATACTTGAAAATATGCTTATACAATAATCCATCTGGCTCTCCAGATATGATATTTCTCTTTTCAAGAATAAAATATTACCATTCCATGGTGACACACTAATTCAGTGAATTAGGAATGAAGAGGTGAGGAAAAGCAAAAAGTACAAAATGAAAGACAATTTAAAAACAGTTACTCATTACTTCAGCCAAGTTAAACTAACAAAGGAAGCTAAATTACCTATTATCTGGATTACCTTTTATACACATGTCTGTTATACAATTCTCTGGAATTATATGAAGACAGAAAACATGTTGTAAGAGAAAGTTTATGATACAATCAATACATATAAAATAGGCATTACAGCTAATATAATATAGTAATAGATTTTACTATTCCAGATTCAATTTTACACTGCCTCCCAAATCAGATGCAAATTTCTCTATATACATACTTAAATCTAACTCCAATTTCATTAGAATTTATAAGCTTAGCAGTAGACTCCATGACTCCACCAAAAATACCACCTCCTTTCCGTCCACCTCGAGCACCCATCATTTCTGCAGAACGTCGCATCATATATATCAGGAATCCTACAAACAGAGTATGGGTCTCATTAAGCAAACACACTCTTGTGGTGTATTTAACAAATCACATACTATCTTCGCTTTATCTGCACAATACAAATACAGTTTATACTTTACTTGTAATCACCATACTCATATAAACATAACAACAAATGGAGTCCATTAACTGGAGCTTATGCATAAGAATAGCCTTCACCTTTTACATGATACAAAATGACATGCAGGGTTCATGCTATAATCTGAAATATAACAGTAATTTTTATTTTTCAGTCATAATTTTAAATCATAAGCTATAAATTTTGAATGAGGCTGTTTTTAAGTAAAAAGTTACACTGTGACAACATAAAACCTCAAAACTAACTGTAAAAGTATCAGGCAGTGAGACTATGATGCACAGCGATGCCAGTAATGTTGGGTAATTATGAATTTATAACTTCTACTACAAAGTCTATACTGACAGAGACATTAATGAAAAGGCACAGTAAGACCTTCCTTTGAAATACAAGTGAATTGCATAGTGTGACGTATCTGCGCTATGCAGGACATCCCCTCCCCAGCTAGCAGTGACATAATACATTCGGAGCGTTGCCGTTGCTACGGTAATAGGCCAGTCAACACCCCGCCCACTCCCTTGGTGATGTGACCAAGGGATGTCGCGGTTGCTATGCAGCAGTAAACAACTCCCAACAGCGTTGCTAGGCTATCGGCAAACACGGCGTCAGACAACAGCAGTACCTAGCACGTAACTGTTTTCTGTCTTGTCCATGCCAAGGCTAAATAAGGAGCAGTGAACATTATTCACAGTTAGTTACAAGTTAGCCAGGGTGTGAGTAGTCAGTCAGTTAGTAGTGAGTGATTAGACAGTGAGTATTGAGCCAGTTAATAGTGAGTGAGTACTAGAGAAAGAGTAACCAGTCAATAGCTGTCTATCTTTCATTGGCATATTTGTGATACTGCCAATGGCAGTAAGGTTGAGATTGTAAATGGTGTGACTGTAAGAGCGAGTGTGAAATAAAATTCGCTATATCCAATACGGCGTGAAGTTACTTGTTGCGTTATACTAGGTGGTTCAAATATGACCGGGACTGTTTTTTCTGTAAACAAGCCGCACTGTGCAGCAGCTGTGCGACCTTGAGAGATTGTAGCCACAACCTCCACTCTCCCTCCTGTTAGGGTTAGAACCTGTTCAGTGCTGTCTGGGAGTTGCTAGAGGGATGAGCAGACAGAAGGTACTGCAGAGCGTGGAACAACGCATTGTGATCAAATTCCTTGTTGGAGAAAACGTCCCATCCACTGAAATTCACCACAGACTCCAACAACAGTATGGGGAAGAGTGTCTCTCACAGACCCATGTGTTTGAGTGGTGTAAGTGCTTCAGAGAGGGCAGAGAGCGCGTGGAGAATGAACCACATGATCATCGGCCATAAACATCTGTCACCAAGCCAAACATTGATCGTGCAGACGCACTTATTCGTGAGAATAGGTGCATCACTATCAAGGGACTTGGAGCAATGCTGTCCATCAGTGTTGGTAGTGTAGAAGACATCGTGAAATATCACCTGCACTATCGCAAGGTGAATGCATGGTGTGTACCATGCACTTTGACAGACGTGAACAAAATGGTGCGCATGCAAGTTT